AAAAATTTAGATGCTTTATCAATTTATACGGGACATTCCATGGTTGTAGAAGTAAGATAAATATTTTCTAGTAAATGAAATAAAATCAACAAACCAAAAAAAAAAATCGGTTAGCGCAATTTATTAAACTCTATGATGGAGAAGAGACATTGCTAAGATATCCACCAACATTCCTAAAGAAGATTAAAGTGCGTAGTAGCGATTCAAATTTCTACCCCTATACTTCAACAATTCTTTTAAATCGCGTTTCACACAAAAAAAAAGAAATTGTTTAGTTTTCAAACATGTACGATGAATCTATTATCATCAAAGCCCGTGACATATAGTGAAGATCTCACTAATAAGTGCACACGGATGTCGTAGCACTAACTCAACTTTCAGAACAGATTCATTGTTTCACGGGAATTTTCTATTAAAGTTTTCAAATGAATTGATCAAAGTCATCGTGGAAAAGATCCATCCAAGAATTTGATCTTCAACAGACATTCTTAATGAGAAGTAGAGGTGTAAGCTGAAAAATCGAACGACGACTGCTAAGTTTAAAATTGAAGTATTCTTTTGAGAAAAAAAAATTTCCGTAGTTAGAAACTCAACTGATGAAAAAATGTTCGATCGTGTATGTATAGATGTCAGCGACGGCGGCTCAGCTGTACGGCTTACACCTCTAATGAAAAGACCATATCTCAGTTATCTAAAAAACATTCGGAGTAGAGGATAATTACATTATTGAGCTTTCGAATGAGAAGTTAAATGAAAATGTTTGTCCCACCATGTTTGAGATAAGATGATGTCTGAATCATTACTTCAGTATATGTTAGCCGATAGAAAGTGAGTTGGTGTTTGCGATTAGGATTTGTTGTTGCACACATGCATCCCAGCTCAATACCATAAAAGAATAGTAGCACTTTATGAAGGACAACTACTTATGTTCAGAACGATATGTCTTCAAATTAAATGAAACATCTCATTCAGCAAGTGATATTATGATCAGTGTTTTATCTGGATTTCGCTTTTCGCGTGGATGATTGAAATATTTGAAGGGGCTGCTAGGTAAAAATATTTTTGCCATATAGTAAAGACATACAGACTCTTTTTTTTCACAACACCATTACACTTCTTCTTCGATTACCAATACAGTGTGAAAAAACACGTTGAAAAGAAAACAATAAATCTAAATTAAACCGGAATTTTTTACTTTTCTCATAATCAATAATTAAATCTTTTAGATCATTGTTTAAATCAGATGATCCTTCTACTAATATTCTCATTAATTGTTCTAAATGTTCTATTGTTAAATGATTTCGTAGATCAGTTAATATTCTATTCGTTGTTCTAAAATCATATTCTACTGTTGCTGTATATAAAAATATTTCAGCAACTAATAATAATTGTGGACACATATATATCTTGTCATTCCATTTTTAA